GCTTTTGGCCACAGTTCTCCTGCACAGGGGGAGTCCCAAATAGCCAGCCTAACATCTGCATGCTGGACCGCCTCCCTCCGTCCCCTTCTTTGCATTTACAGATGGATGCAAGCTTGGAAAGCTCTGTAGAGAAACAGTAGTTCCAGCATCACATCACCTGAAGCACATGCAGTAGCACATACCATGAAGGAGGATACAGTCCTGTTGTCTACCACTCTCAAAAATTATTTCCTGGCCTTGTTCAGGGCTTCAAGAGTGTACTGTCATCCACTTAGATTCCACTTGAACCCCCTCTCAAGTGAATGCCCTCTAGCTCTTGTCTTCAAATAGTGGTGTCCATCCTTTTTGATCATACAAGTCATGTAGATTTTTCAAAGGCAGAGCTGATGCTTATGGTCCCTCTTCTCTCTTGTTTCCTCATTTCTTGACTGAAATGTCACTGTGCAGTCAGTTCACAGGTAATTCGTGCAAATCAGGCACTTGCTTGAAAGATGTCCAAGATGAAGAATGGCTAAGGTCGGGTTGCCCCTATGGGACTAAGCCCATGTAGCTGGCATATCTTTTGCTTAGGCTGAATATGAGAGCACACAGAAATTACTTTTTCAGAAGGCAAAATATTCTAACTGTGACTGCTGCTCATTCCTGGTTACTTTCTCTCTTATGGGCCTTTCGGTATCTTGCCTGTACTGTCATGGATGTAATCCACAGACTGCCTGCTCCTGACTTGTGGAGACCTGCTTTCTTCTAAGCTGCTCCTTCAGGATCAGTCACTCTTCAGGATCAGTTTTGTCAAGACAATTTTATGCTGGGAAAGTACAAAAGAGTAACTAGGAGTGCTTGAGGAAATTGAGAATGAAAAAGTTAAGTGCAATATGAAATTAGGCACTCTCAAGAACAGGCACCACCTAAAGCAGGAGATTCCAGTATCCGTTTGGTATTCAAGTTCTATATTGTACACCATAAGCACACAGTTCCTCCATGTACCTCAATGGAAAGTTTGTCACGTAAGTGATTTAGGTAATTAAAATCCATGTGTTTATTTCTGGAGTGCTTAGAATAAATTAGGAGCTCTGCAGAAACCTGCCACTTTCCCAGTAGACAAAGCCCTGCTTGCTCCTGGTTACCAGAATGACCCAGCTGCTAAGGTAGGGCTATTTAAAAACAGTTGCTCATACTATCTACAGCAAAATTAGTTCACTTGTGAGAGCTGATTCCCATCAGAGTCCAGATAATAACTCCTGTGAATTCCCCTGTTATTGACATCTGTGTCAGTAATTCAAACACACAAATGAAAGACTGAGCTAATATGAAAACCAAACTAGTGTTACAGTAAGCAGTAAGAAATATATTCAGACCCTGAACTGAAACGCATCTTTGGTATCCGAGGTTACAGCCATACTTAGGAAGTACCTAAAAAAAACATTCCAATTGTTTCTCATTCTTCTAATCACCACCACCTTCCCAACATGACCACTACCATGGAAATCAGATGCCATTGCTGCAGAGGGATCAGCACACCAGAGCAGCCTCTATTAACATGTTTATATACCTTGTGCTCCCAGTTCCTCAATAGCTCTGGTTTAGCACATTGCGTCCCTTCTGTGCCCTGAGAGGAAGGTCTAGGCTGAAACATTTCATAATGAAACAATGCACTTGTTTTTCTTTCTCATGCAATCTTTGCATCACTTTATTCTGTGCTGCTTGTTTTAAATTCATTTTACATGTAGGAGGAATATCTTTCCATAGTGACAAATGTGCTCCCTTTAAATATGTAACAGTAGAGACTGAGGCCTATTAATTTTAACTTACTGTATTATATATCAAATCATTGTGATTGATTAATTCTAAATGAGAGGTGCTAGAAGAAGATTTAAGGAAAAGGTTTAAAATTGGGATCGAGCCTTCATTATTTTGCTGCTCAATAATTTAAAATGACATCCTTAACTCTGCAGCAATGCATTTAATTTCAGGGTACTTACTAGACTGCATCTGGAGTGAAGTTAAATTCTAAGATACCTCTGAAATATTCATGTTGTTGTAGAGAGGGTGCAATATAAGACTACAAAAGTGACTTTAGGTCTTGACAGTCAGACATAGGAGGAAAAGATAAGACACTCTTACTAATGGCTTTGACATGATCTAGCAAAGTTTCTAAAAACTATGAATCTTTGAAGGAAGTCTACAGCTGCTGGTCAGGATCTTAAAGCATCCATCCATACGGAATCCCACAGAACTGGGGGTGGGTTTTGATATCACAACAATGAATTCACAAGCACCCTAACTAAAACCTATTGCTTTTATAGGCAGCTTGTGATAGATTTACTGAAAATGTGAAAACAGGCATGTGTCTTTGCTTACGTACACTGCAGATAATACTTCTGTCCATGCTTCCTATTTGTGTAAGAGCTATCTGAAGCATACCTTCTATAACTGCTATATGAAGTACACAAGAAAGTCAAGTTTTCAAGAGTGCAGCAGTCAGTCTTAAGAATTATTTTATCTGGATCACTTATGAATGAAGCCATAGAATATGAGTAAATGCTACCATGTGTGGAAAGAAGTACATGTTTAAATGCAACATCCTTTGAAAAAGGTCAGGGAGCACCAAATGTTCATATTTTATTTTTCTCATCAATTCAATAAAGACAGTTGCCTTCATGCAATGAAATATTCAGATTAAATAAACTGCTATGGAAACAGAATACAGGGTGTGTGGTTTGGTTGATGCAGCTACCCAGGTGTAAGAGACATGTAGAAACGTGTTTGTAACTTAGTTGTGCTCTTCCACTCCTTTCATCCCTGCAGACCAGACATAGTATTTGCAGTGAGCCAGGAGCAAAGTGCTTTTTCTAATACTTTACTACTATATTGAGGAATTTGCTCTGCACTTCTGTAACTAAGGATATCAGTTGTGCATTTGTGTTATTGCTTCTCATGACAGTGTATTTGCCAGGTAACTAAGATCTCAACCCATTTTTCAGAAGTAATTCTTAAAATAGTGTACTAAAGCTGTTCATTCACTTGCTTGGATAGTGCTCTAGATTGTGACTGTGGACCTGATAGTGTGCACAAAGGAGCAGCCACCCTGCTGTCCCTGTATCAGTGGCACCAATGCACAAACTCATTGCTGTGGTCGCACATAAATGCTGTGCTGCAAGGCCACTCATTCTCATGCACAGCGCTGACAGAGGTTTCAGTGAAAACATTTCAAAAATGATTTTGCAACTTAAGAAAACATACTTCAGCAATTACCATTTCCTTTACCATGAAACCAAATTCATTGTACATTACAGCTTTAAAGCTGAGATCTAAGGTTCAGATCAACTCTTTAATCCTGACTGTGGCTTCGGGTACTTCCTGATATTTATGAGAAATGCTCCAGGCCTGCAGCTGGGCTTTGAACAAAAAAATAATGAACTTCGTTGACTGTGAACAAAGTTCTATACTATTTTAAAGAAAGTTAAGCTGTGACATTTTTTTAATCCAACACTAAATCACATAACCCAAATTCTCTGCATAATTCAGGAATGAATGTTCAGAGCAGTAACAAGACAATTAGATCAAACCGGGTTGCTACATAAGCTGAAATCAATTTATCTAAACTTAGAATTATTGCTAGTCTCTCTCCTGAAATATATCCCATTGCTTTTTGGAATAATACAATATTTTACTATGTAATACCTGAATCAAAATACTGTTTCCATTCTATTTTAACATACTCCATATACTAATTCTCCATCTCTGCTTATTAGTTGAAAAATGTAAATAATAAAGGATTGGACCACATGTTACAGAATTTCATACTTATATATACAATACACTTTACAAATCTAATTATAGTTTTAAGTTCTGGTGGCCTTGTTCCTGTCTGTTTAATGTGACCTCTCCATTTAATATGGGCTATTTACTGAGAACTTACATCAAATCAGTGCTTGCTCACTTCGCTCAGGATTTGGATACAAATGAAATGTCAGATGTGACTGATGTGAGTTTGTAATGGGCAGAAATTAATGGAAAATAGAGTGAAGTTGATACAGTGCAGGAAATTTTGGCAGGGATGTGATGGTTTTAAATGAGGCCATTTTTTTTGTCAGGAAAAGAGGTCTCAGGGCACAGTCTGACAAAACAGGGCTTGGAATGAGCAGTGATGATAACTGCTGTGATTAGATACCCTGGTAAACAGGGAACACATGAAACAGAAAAACAGTTTGCTTTTGTTGAAACAAAACACATTGTTGTCAAGGGGAACAGGAGAGATTCCTACACAGACTCCAAGAATAGAGTGAGCGATGTTTTAAGAGTTTGAAAGAAGGGCTCAGACCAAAATAAGGATCTGAAGTGAAAAACAGAAATTAGGGATAGAAAAAAATATGCCCTCAAACAGCAGAGGAAATACAACACTGAAAAATATATTTTCCCTCTTCCTGACAGAAAATACGTGCATTTGGTTATATATTATTATAATTGGGTATTATCTCCTTAGTAGCAGGTTTTTTCCATAACGTGCCTTTTGCTTTCTGTTTAGTTATGTAAATACTAGCCCCCCATACTCTACCCGAGGTAGTAAGTAAACTAGGCTTCACTGTGTATTCAGATCAGTTCCTTTATTCAAGCATAATTATAATAAATTAAATGTGATATTAAAAACTTGAATTGAGAAGAAGCAAGGCTATTAACTCACAAGATACTATTTTGGATAGTAGGTCAGTCTTTAAAACCTCACGCTCTCACTTCAGAAGAAAACTAATTAAGAATGTAAAAACACTGTGGTCCAGATTTGTGACTACTTATCACCTACCACAGGAACCTATTTTAAAGGTTAGTTTTGAGCAATTCCCCTTTGAATATTTTTGAACAAATATTTAATAAAATTCAGGAGCAAGATGTTGGGCTTTTAAAAATCTGTTTGCACGTGTGAGTTGCTCTGTTCTGTTGTGAAGTGTTCTTTACTTTTCTTGCTTCGTCACAGCAGACAATACTTTTTATTCTGGTTTCTTGAGGTATTGCCTTTTCTGAGGCTAGAACCAAAAGAGCTATTGATACCTGGACTTGGTGTTACAAGACAGACATGAAGGTAAGAGTTTAACTTATATTGCTATGAGTTTGCAATACACTTAAACATTACACTAGAGGTATTGCAGTGAGGGTTTTCTTCACTGTGTGCATTGGAATCACTTATTTATTGACCATTCACAGCCCCAAAGTGCTGCTCGCTACACAAGTTAACAGCTGTCTGCTAGTACAGTTCCTGGCTCCCACCTCCTCAGGCATCTTTTTCCTGTTTATACTTGTACATCAAATGGGCCTTTGGAAAAATCCCTGGTTTTCTTTTGTTCTGTTTTCTTTGTTCTGTTTCCATGCGGTCTTTTCCCTTTTGGAGATGACATGTATGGGAAATGGCTTATTGTAGCAACAGGAGACAGAAGGCAAAAACAATTGCATCATGGGTAAAACAAACATCAAAGCAAAGTGTGAGCCAAGTAGCCATGAAAAAGTTATTTCATATGTGGTATTTCAATGTGTTGAAGTCTAGCATCGGTAGGATTTTGGCAACACACAAAAAAATTGATGCAGAAAGTTACCAAACAGTTACCATGGGCTAACTCTTGTTTTTCTCAGTGTCTCTGAGAAACCAGGCAGGACGAAGGACATGCTGCACCTGCTGCAATTGGTGCATTGCCATTTCCCCTATGAAAATTCATTAAGCCTACCTGCAGAGTCACAATTCTCACTGGGCTTGGCTTGCTAAAAAAAATAAATATATATAAAAAAGCAAGCCTGAAAGCCTGTGAAAACCAAATTGGAACCTATCTTTCATTAACTACTAATTAACTGTCTGACAGCCCACATATAAAAGTGAGGGTGCTTATTGTTGGTGCTTGTTTTCACTTTATAAGGAGTTGCTGTAGGTAGCCAGCCTGATTAAGTACTTTTAACAACTCCCATCTAAAGATAATTAAATTCTGCAGTGAAATATAAGGAATCTGGCTTAAAAAAAAATAAACATTAAGTACAGCAGATATTTTTACTGAATAAACAAACGTTACTATTTCCTACACACGCATGCTGCTTTCTCATAATTTACGTAAGGTAAATGACTTTGACAACATCTTTATATTCTGTTTATATACTGCTCAGCCAAGAAAATCTGCATCTTGTGTTTCTGCAGCTCTAACCCGCTGACCCACTGGAGAGTTCTGCAGGCAACAGAGCAATAAAAGCTGCCACTGTGGGTGAAAAGCCCTCGGCAAGCAATAGTCAGCACTCTCAGAAGAACTGAACATGCCCCATCTAAGTGTATGTATTGAGTTTGTTAAATATTTATCCAGATTTAGATGTGAATAATAGAAACCACATGCTAACAGTACTCCAGCTATCTTTAAGCAGCAATGCCTACACTTTCATAGTTTGAAAGCTCTGCTTTTTAACTTGTAAAAGAAAATTGTGCTTAAGTGGGTACTATACTGATGTCAGTGCACACAACAAAACTAGCTTTAGAGGCAATCTAAATAAAACAAGAAGAAATACTTGTATTATGTTAAGAATTAATGTTAACAGTGTCACCCATTTCTACCTGACATAACAGAGAACAAGGCAAATGGAACCTTGTCCTCTATTCACTGCAGGTACCTGGAAAACTGTAAATGACCTCATGAGATCAGACTAGTCTTTTATAAAGGTAAGTTTTTAACTAGACGGTGTTATCACTTGCCCCTTGAAGTCAGTGTCTGCAGATGCATCAGAGCCATCGAACTTTAAGCAAAGCGTCACTTAGAAAGAGATGTGCACTTGAGCCCTGGTGCTGTCTAGACATCCTGCCTTTCCACAGAAGCATGGAAAAGCTTCCCACAGAGCTCATCCCCACTTCAGGCCACTTCTAAGTCATAGGATTTTCTAGTTTTATTGTGACCTAAAATACAAGTTGTGATTCTCTGTACCGATTATAGCGATTGACTCAGTCTCAGTACTTAGAAAAAGGTGCTTTTTCCCCCCTTTTAAATGTATCTCAATGAGAGGACAGATGCTCATGTGTTTTGAACTGTGCATGTTTGATCTGATTTGTCAAGCCATTCCTGCTGGCAGTTTAAATGCCACGCACACTGTGCTCGTTTCCAACCGTTCCTGTTCGTGTTCTGTACACCTCTGGAAAAGAGCAGGAAGTGCAAGCGGCACCGTTGTTAAATGTAGCCGACAAAAGCAGCCCTTCGCTAAAGCAAGTTTTATTTCTTGTTTTATTGCTCCACCTTCTGGTTAACTGCGGTTTACGTGGGATGAGAGAGAAACGATTTTCAGGCGGAATATCACCCTCTCACAGCTGACAGCCGCCACCCTCCAGCCCAGCGCTGCCCGGGGGCCGCTCCTGCCCGGGGGCCGCTCCTGCCCGGGTGCACAGGGGTGCCGGGGACACCCACACCTCACCGTGCGGCGGCTCCCTCAGTGCAGCGCCTGAGGCACCACGCACATGGCCACAACGGCCGCCGCACCTCCACTACCTTCAACTCGATCCGCCGCGGCCAGCCCCACTCTTCGGGACTTTCCGGCAGCGCTCGGGTCTCAGGAGCCAATCAGAGGAGAGTGTGCGTTCCCGCCTTGCTCTACTAGCGCGTGCCGGCCGGAAGACGTGCGTCTGCGCAGGCCGCGCTCAGCCTGAGGGCGGTCCGGACGGCGTTAGTCGGCCGCTGGACCGTGGGCGGATTTGTGCCCGGAGGAGCGACCTGCGGGCAATGCCGGCTGTGAGAGTGGTTGTTAGCCTGAGCAAGAACGAAGTTCTGTAGCCCCGTGAAGAGGACGGCCGGCTGTGTGTGGCTGGGGTGGAAGCAGTCCCTTTGTGGCCTGAGGGCAGGCTGAGGTGACGCTGTAAGGCCCGCAGGGGCGGGGACGCCTCTGGATGGGGATTTGGGCCGTGCAAGCTGTTTGAGGGTGGTGGAGGACTTCAGGCTGAGCACAAGCGGGAAAGAAGGGTTGCTGGGATGGGGAAGAGGACAGACAGGTCTCTGAGGCTGGTTTGCATCACTGGGGCACTGCTCGGGCAGCGAGGGCTGGTGTGTCTTTTGCATGCGTTGTGCGGTAATGGAATACATTAGGCTGAGCTGAGTCCCAGGTGTGACTTGCAAGTAACATCAGTAGACCCTGGGTTACACCTGTCTGAGGTTGCAAATCTGCTGTGCTCTCCAGTCTAGTTGACTTTCTTCACAGCTTCTGACAGTCAGTTCAGACTTGACTACAAGAAGCTGTAACTTCCCCACGCAATCTGTTGTGGCTGTGTGGGGAGATTCAGCAGCAGGGATTTTTGCAGAGGGGTGTATATTTTATTATTTCTTTATTAAGGGCAAATACAGTAGTGCTGTTCATAATATTTATTGGAAGAAGGATGGGGAAAGGAGAAGGTTGAACACTAATGCTGTAGGTGGTTTGTCTTAGAAGATGACGGGAAGAGCTAGAGCCAGATCAAGAGGAAGACCTCCAGGGCAGGAGACTCCCATTTCTTCTGTAGGAGCTGCATCTGTAAGTTGATTTCTTTTTTAATGAATGACACGAGGCTTTGAAATGTAATTGCTTGACTACTTCCTCTTTTAGTATTTTGCTGTCATAATAGAGCTAATTGAAATAGGTAATGTTTTTATAGCCTGTTTTGTCCACAGTGATACAGATTCATAGAATAGTTAGGGTTGGAAATGACAGCGAAGCAGAACATTCAAGGCTGCTGTTGATAAATATTTGGGCAGAGCCTGTGTCTACCAGATGTTCTGACCTGTTCCTGTTGGTTTTAATTTTAATATGCAGGACTTTGTCTCTGCATTTGAACTAGTGTCTAGGGCTTGTTTTATGCATATTTGCCCTGGTCAAACTCTAGCTTGAAAATGGCTGATCTGTATTTGAAGCCATTGCCATGTAGCTGGAGATTTTTTTTAAAGCAGTTTCTCAAATCTGTCAGTTGTCAGTAATCATCTTTCGTGTCATTAGTCTGGAGGGGTGATCCTAGTCCATTTCTTGCCAGTGTCAGATGAGTTTAAGTCATGATAGAAGACACAGTTTATAATTCTCTTTCTCAAATGTGAAATACATGGAGCTCCAATGTGAATCTTTAATGAATAGGAAAGGAATGTAGTCAACTCAGGATAGTGGTGCTCAGTGCTTAGCTAATGTTGTGTGTTGCAGTGGCACTTCTTAATGTTATTTATTCACTAGGCACTAATTGCAAAAACTGTTTTTATAAAATAAATAACTACTTGAAGTATCAGAGGCATTGTTAAAAATGAGAAGTCCAGAAATTTTAGTTACAGAGTTGGGAAGAGATTTGAATTTACTACTAATTAAATGCATATTAACTTGCAAAAAAAGAAAATTCCTCGACCTGCATTATTTTTAAGTTTGAGGTACAAAGTAATAACTCTGCTACATAATACAGGAAAAAAAGTTTAAACTTCTGTAACTGTCACATTTGAGTACTTGAGTATTCTGTACTTGGTTACTGACTTTGTTTTGGTTTACTCTTGGGAGTATGCTGTTTCTTCAGTTGCAGTAGGAAAAGTTATTCCCAACTATTGCAGGTTCATCAGACTTTGCCAATTCAGCCACCTGGCCGTCATCAGCCACGTGTTCATCCATCACTATCAGAAGAACCTGGTGCCCGTGGGTGCCAGAGCGAGAGAAGGCCAGAAGGTCAGAAAGAGTGAAAAAGTTCATTGCCCTCAAGAGCACAATTAAGGCATTCCTTAGACTATATTTCAAATTTTTCTTCTCAAAATGAGATTTATTACTGAGATTTAGAAACATTCACTCTGCATCCTTTGGGATGCAGTGTAACTGAACCAGGAATCTACTCCATCTGTACCATCTCTTCTATCAAAACAATAAATTAGAAAGCAGTTGGCACAATTACCTGCATGACTACCAATCATCAATTTCATTTTGTTGTTTTGTTATGCTTCTTGAATCTTAATAAGGAAATAAAATTTTCTTGCCTATTTTGGATCAAAGTGTATTTAAACATTTTGGTGCCAGCTGGAGCAGAAATGAAAGCTCTGTCCTCCCTGTGTTTGCAAAAAGATTGATTTGGAGGATTTACATCCCTTTTTTTTTTATCTGGCTAGTGAGCTGTTCTATTTGCTTACTAGTTAGCTGTCCGTAAATCTTAAGAATTTGTTATGTGTTACCTGAATGTTATTATGAGATGGATTTACTACTTAGCAAAAGCTGTAGCTTAACATTTCATGATTTCTCTTGGTCTTATGTATATCTGATTTTCAAAATGGAACTGTATTTACTTTTATTTATATTTAAGTGTTGACTATAATTCTTTCTCTTCCTCAAATTTTGAAACAATAGGATTACAGATTTCTGTGGGATTTCAGGAATTGTCTTTAGCAGACAGGGGTAGGCGTCGCAGAGATGTCAATGACCTTGGGGTGAACACTCGGCAAGCCATAGAACATGTTCAAGAATCAAAAACTGGTATGTTTGTATTAGACTGTAGGCATGTAAGCAAGTTGAACAAGTTTTGCTTTATTTCTGCTTTTAGTATCCTCTAGAAGATCAAGTAAATAAAATTTTTACTGTGTATTAGAAAAAGATGCAAGTTGCTCCCAGTATCTGAAGATGACGTGTCTGATGGCAAAGGGCTTCAGATGGAAGTTGTGTTGCATTTTCAATTGCAACTGTTTATATATAAGTGATGATCCTTATATGTTTCTGATGTCCACTTCTTCAGGCAGGACTCTGTAGGTTTGCTTATAGAAGTTCTGGTTTGTAATGCATTGGCCTAACCAAATTCCTAAAGGTCTGATAAATATGGAATTTGAGAATTCTTCTGAAGAAACGTTGTAGGGTAAATAACAGGTGATGCACTTCTCTCCCTGAGATGAAATTGTGCATATGAAAAGAAGCAAAAGCAGGCTGTCACAGTTGTCCTGCCTTCCTGGTAGAACACAATCCTTCTTAATGTTCAACAGTGCAGTTTCTGTTCTGGTAGTAGTTTTGTATTGCAAGTGAGCTGTGAAGTGTCACAACAATGTAACAGCAACTGTAGTCCCTTTTTGCATAACTGAATAATGGCTGGAGCACGCCATAGGCCCAAGAATGGCAAGGCTTGTTCTGCTCAAGTCACTTTGGGCCAGAAGCAGTACAGTTTTCATTCTCGCCTAGCTTTTCTGTCTAGAGCTATGATGATGCTAGGTCATGGGTCACTGTACTTTGCAGGCAGCTGTATTCCTGGCCTTTTATTTTCTCTTTATAGCTTCACACAGTTATGCTTTGTATGTTTTCATTATTTTTTATTTTCATCTGAGATGTTATATTTCAGATGGGGAAAAATGGATAATGTAACCCAAATTAAAATGGATGATCCATAATTGTCTACAATGTACTTTTTGTATGAGACTTGTGTCTTTAGGAGAAATTGAAATGATATATGAAAAAATCAGAAGAAATACTTTAAATAAGTGATCTGAAGCCACTTTTTACTGTTGTGGGTTTTTTGTTTGCTTGTTTGTTCATTTGAAAAATCTTGAAATACCTAAAAAGATGTCATCTTGTAACATATGGGAATGTGGATATCTCTAGTGATTGACACTGTTAGTTTTTGTTTTATGCTTATGATTTGTGTAAGGCAAGATTAATTTGCCCACAAAAGAAGTTTAGGTTTTGGTGAAAATTCATCTTTCTCGTATTCAGTACAAATCCTTTGGGAAAGAGGTTACTGATCTAAATTCTTGCTGTGGGAGTTTTCCTGACAACTGAAGGAAAAAAAGCTCTAATAAGTGGGTGTCTGTGATAACACTACATCTATATGAGCATTTCATATAGTTTACTGAGTCATGGGACACAACAGACCTCTAACCTTTTGTCTGAATGCCTTAGTTTTTTTTAAATGTCTCAGAACTGTTGAATTCCCATAAACTGGCAAAAGTTTGTAACTACTGACATTTTTGCCTCTCATTTTAGGTACTTCTGGTGTTAGGATAAAGCTAACTACAAATTACTTTCGTTTGACGTCTCGACCACAGTGGGCTTTATATCAGTACCATGTTGGCTATAGTCCTGAGATGGAAGCACGCCGCCTTCGATCAGCTTTGCTCTTCCAGCATGAAGAGCTAATTGGAAAGACTCATGCATTTGATGGATCAATACTATTCTTGCCAAAAAAACTAGTGAATAAGGTGTGATACAAGAATGCTATCTTACTTTTTCTTTTGACATGCGTTTTATGATGCATCTTGTTTCTTACTGGTCTAGAAGTTAGAGAATTGATGTCCCACAAGCAGTGT